CTCCCTCCCGCCCCCCGGGCTCCGGCTGCTGCTGCACTGGGGAAGTTGCTTTGGCCCCCACCGCGGTGGAGAGCAGCGGGAGCCGGGAAAGTTGGAGCCCAGGGAGGAGGCGGCTGCGCGCTCGGATGCCACCGCCGCCTCTGTGCCCCGGCAGATTGGGGGAGATGTAAGTTTTGCTGCAGCCACTCGCACTCGGGGTCCCTTACCGTGTCTCCCTATTTTCCTGGACATGTTCGGCTTTTTGGAAATTCCTCCCGGACGGGGATTTGAGGACCAAAAAGTCGGACATGTCCGGGAAAATCCGGACGTATGGTAACCCTAGGTTGAGACACAGCTGCAGGAATGGGCAAGGTACAGGCCCCAGGAACTAGCTACATCCAGCTGGGAGATCTCTGGAAGTTGCAAAACTTCCATCAGTCAGGTTGTGGTTTTGCAAAAAAATAGCAAACTCAGCAACGGCTCCGATCCAAGCTCCATTTTATCCAGACTTCAGGAAGGATCAGATAAAAGACTCCAGTTGGGGGCCATCTCTGCACAGGATCAGCCATTTCCAAGAGAGACAGATCTAGGAGCGAATGGGAAGCGAGGGAAAGGCTCTGCTGTGTGGTGGGGTGGCAGGGAGCAGCACGGATGCACGGCAAAGATTGCTAACTAGCACACACAGTGCTTTGCCATTTATTATTTCCTAAGTGCTGCAAGGGTGCATGGTGCTGTGCAGCCCCATTGAAATAGCAAGTCTCTGCCCACAATTGTTTACAATCTAATGGCCCCAAGGACGGTGTACAAGGAAGCAGGGAGCTTCCCCCAATTTCTTGCACCCGCATGCCACAAGCTGACTCCTCTCTGCTAATGCCTCCAGGAGTGCTAGCTGCTTATAAGCAGATAGGGAGAGGGCAGGATGAGGGTGGAGTCGTGACCCCAACACCTCCTTCCCAATCAGTGAAGCTGGCCTGAAACAAAGGGGAGTGAAGATGCTTCTTCTTCAGCGTGCATGTCTCTGTTGCAGCAACCAGAATTCCTCCCTTCGGCTCTGTTTAAGAGCCGAGCTGCCCAAGCGCTACCGCCTTCGGGCAGCCCCCATGCCTCCGGACCCGGCGCCCCGGGAGCCTGGGAGGGGAAGTGCCCGGCCAGCGGCTCAGGGTCCGGAGGCATGGGGGCTGCCCGAAGGAGGTAGCGGTCGGGCAGCCCCGCCCACTAAACG